TTCACAGATCTAAGGCTGGTAATCATGTGTATCTAAAATGCTCCGTCGTCCGCCGTCCGTCCGCCGTTCGTCGTCCGCCGTCCGTCGTCCGCCGTCCGCTTTTTATCCGTACGCCTTTTATCTACACACGGTGCTATTGTGACTTGTGAGTCAAATAACTCGAAAAACTGCATCTGCGTCACATCACGAGCTATGTATAATAAGATTACTCAGTTCTTACACTGACCTGAAAGGTCAAGTGTCTTAAATCCCTGCTTTCTGTTTTCTGTTTTTTTCGTCGTCGAGAAATCGAGTTTGCGTTCGCGCATCGCAGGCTCAGGGTGCAACGGTTAATCCAAAATGCCATCGATTCTTTGACTCCACGATTCATATATAATAGTAAGAAGCTGGTATTTATGTACGTAATAGTCGGCTCATGTCATGCTTGCGGTGCATTTTTCGTTTATTAGCCCATATATAGACCTATATGGACTTATACGCACGCGCACAATTCCGAACTCCAATGGTGACATATTCAGTCCAGTTTCAAAATGGCGCCTTTTGGCTGAGTGATCAGAAAGTATTTCACACAGTTTCTTTGAATTTTCAAAGAGTTGTGCCGGTTTCCTATGGATTTTACGTTGTGTCGCACTCTGAACTTTCTTGCGTGTTGAACTAATATGTTTTTCTTCGTGTAACGACTCGAAAACCCCAAAGTTTGGACCCAGCGAATTTTACAAAGGACAAGTTAAAGGTTCGACAGTTTGACTTTTTAACTAATAAACAACCGTCTATAAATATACGTTGTAGACCGTGGTGTAGTTGTGTTAATTTTTTGTCGCACTCTGGACTTTTCTGCATGTTGAATTAATGTTTTTATTTTTGTATTATACGACTCTACAATTTGGCTTTGAAAATTTGGCCGACCCGGCGGATTTATGCAATCAATATGTTGTATTAAACGACTCGAAATCCCCAAAATTTGGACCCGACGCGAATTTGTACAATATAGTGGAATATAAGCAAGTACAAGTTAAAGATTCTACAGTTTATTTTGATTTATTGTATGGTACTCATTTGTCTAATACAATAACATTTAGTTCACAAGGGCAAGTTAAAAGTTTGACCATATTAAAATACATGTATTGAAATTCGCGCAATAGCTACTAGAATTCGCGCAAGTAAAGATAAAGTGAGCGTTCAAAATACCAAAAAGAACTAAGGCATTTATTGTATGGTTCTCATTTGCCTAATAGAATAACATTTAGTTCACAATATAATATAAACACGATATAAACAAGGAAAAGTTAAAGGTTTGACAGTTTCACAACACAACGTCGACAATATACCTTAATACATGTATTAAAATTCGCGCAGTAGCTACTAGTTGGCGCGCCAAACGCTTTGTGGTAGCTATACTAAGGATAAAGCGTGCCTTCAAAATACCTACAAGAACTAAGACATTTATTGTATGGTTCTCATTTGCCTAATACAATAACATTTAGCTCGACGCGAATTTTAACTATAGTATCATATTTCATAATATAATGAACAATGTAAACTAGCCAATTCTTTCACCTACAAAATGTCGACAATATACCTTAATACATGCATTAAAATTCGCGCAGTAGCTACTAGAGTTCGAGCAAGTAGTAAAGATAAAGCTTGCATTCAAAATACCGAGACATTTATTTGCATGGTTCTCATTTGCCTAATACAATAACATTTAGTTCACAATATAATATAAACAAGGAATAGTCGTTCGATTTGGCTATACAGTTTGCTCGTTTTGAATGTGTATTGATCATTTCAATAATCGATTTACATATCAGTCTGCTCGATTCGAGTAAGGGTTGCCCGATTATAACTATTGGACCTATTGAATTTTGACAGTAAAAACGCGCCATATATAATACATGTATTAAAATTCGCGCAGTAGCATACTAGCATTGGAGCAAGTAAAGATAAAGCGGTGCGTTCAGTGAAATACCAACAAGAACTAAGATATTTATTGTATGGTTCTTATTTTCCTAATACAATAACATTTAGTTCACAATATAATATAAACAAGGAAAAGTTAAAGGTTTGGCGTTTGACTACACAATGTCGGCATTATACCTTAATACATGTATTAAAATTCGCGCAGTACGTATAGCTAGTGCTACTAACATTCCGGCGGACCTATTGAATTTTGACAACAAAAACGCGCCATATAGCCTAATACATGTATTAAAATTCGCGCAGTAGCTACTAGAATTGGCGCAAGTAAAGATAAAGCGTGCGTTCAGTGAAATACCAACAAGAACTAAAACGTTTATTGTATAGTTCTCATTTTCCTAATACAACTCGATCAACTCATAGCTATTATGTGCTCATTTGTTATCATGTGCTCATTAATTCTTATATCAATATTGGAACATGATCACGAAATACTGCGTAGCGCAAAATCTCCATTCTTCAAGGCAACTGAAAGGCGAAGAAGACAATGATATATTGTATCTGACTGCTACAATACTCAGAAATGATCCACGATCATGATTTGATAAAGTTCAATATGGTCACGTGATTTTCGGTGTGAACCTGATATACTATCTATAAATATTATTACTAAGTACCTGACATTAAACTAAATGTGATTAAAGCACAAGAGATGTTACCTATGTCTCATTTTATATTTTTATTTTTTTCCTATGAAGGTTTGTTACTTGTGCAAAAGCGCAACTTTAATTAGGTTTCAAACAGTTTCTGCCTTCTGCTTTTTGTTGTCGAATTATTGATTTTCTTTGGATAAATCTACCGTTGAAACTGTTCTATACGAACTCTCTTGCTTCCCATTCCCTTGTCTATTACACCATATAGCCAATCTCGTTCCCCGAGCCTGCGATCCTCGGGAAGGAAACGAAGGCTCTGGGATAATTCGTTGCCGAAAGCCAGGAATTCTGGCTAAGATTGAACTGCACATTCCATATCAACGGCCAATCAGATTCCTCCCTGAAACGGATTATCCCAGAGCCTTCGTTTCCTTCCCAACGACCGCAGGCTCAGGGAACGAAATTGCACCATAGCACGCATATCATCATTTTCAGGTCAGTGTGAACGCCTGAGTAGGCGTCTTGTTATATATACATAGAAGACTGAGTAGGAGTCTGGAAGCCAATCCAGTAACAAGCTTCACCTCGCCGTAGATTTTATAATTCTCTTGAATGAATAAACGGAATCAGCGCTTTTTGCTTCAATATAGACAGATTATTCCAATCGATAGCTCCATTGTATTTAAAACTTCTTTTAAGAAATTCTTTCTTTGGGTTTGGTAATACTAGATCAGTTTCACGATTCCTAAGATCATAAGGGGAATCGCCTTCGAAATAGTTGCTTTAAATTTGGGGCGGCATGGTCATTAACTATTTTATACATGTAAATAGATTTTGTATAGTTGCGTCTCTCGTCTAAGGATTCCCAACCTAACATATTCAGCACATCAACAGATCGAATATCAAAACTAGACCCCGTTATAACTCTCGCAGCCCGATTCTGCAATCTTTGAAGCTTTTCCCTAAGACCACATCCACAATTGTCCCAAAGAGAGCTGCAATAATCAAAGTACGGTTGCACTAGGGCATTATATATTAGCTTAAGTTTCTACTGGTGCAAAAGGCTTCATTCTTCTCATAATTCCAATTCCAGCCCCAACTTTCGCGCAAATATTATCTATATGTTTTTCCCAAGTAAAATCTTTCATCCAGGTCAACACCCAGGCATGTGTAGTTGTCCGTCCTGGCTGAAAAATATAAGGACAATTTCAACGTTTCGAGCGAAGGCCCTTCGTCTGGAGTTACTAGTGAAGTTACTGCCTGTCTAGAGTTGATATAACTCCAGACAGAAGCGCCTTCACTCGAAACGTCGAAACTCTCCTTATATTTTTCAAGTAATTGCATCACTACCAGCGAAAGCTTGTTCATACAGTTGTAATGGCCCGTTTGCCGTTCTTTTATCATGCATAACACAATAAAGATTATAACTGGTTAACCGTCATATAAAAAATTTCGGGTTAATTAAATTATAAGTTAGACAAATGCAAGTTTGAAGCTCGTATATTCTTATACAATAATATGGCAAAAGAAAACTATATATATTAGATGTAACAACAAGCATGCGTATATTTTAGGATGTGACAAGTTCAAATAGGCATTATATTGCTTGCTTTTCATGCGAACAAATATATATTTCTAAAAAAAAACAAGTATTAATGGGTATATCCATCTTTCATACTACAGGAGTGCAAACTAGAAATTTAAAAAATATTGAGTTATTACACACAATTAAATTCAGTGTCGGTGTTACAAACAATTTTCTACAAAACTCTTTGAGACCATGCCAGCCAATATTACAGAGTTATTGAACATTGACAAAACAAACTTTGTCTCCCCCTTCCCTCAGTTCAATGTTGTAAACAATGCCCGTACGACTTTTGGTAATATACCATGACACAAGCTCAAAATTGAGTTGGGGCAGGTGGGGCTTAAGAAGCTTTTCATCCCCGAGCCAACCGGCGAGGAGCGCCGTTCCTGGCGTTAGCCTGGGACGAGGGTACTAATTCCGCCCGGCTATTTACACCCGGGGAAAGGGAAGCATTAGCGAAGTCTAAAGTTCATCAGTGATCGGGGGCGTGGGTCACCAACCGTGGGTGGTCATCCTCACTGATCTCAAAGAACATGGCTGCTTGTCAGGAGTGGGATAAGCAATGCAAGATTTCAATTTTCAAAAGCATATATTTGGAAAATCATGGGTTTTTTTATTATTATTATTATTATTATTATTATTATTATTATTATTATTATTATTATTATTATTATTAAAGTCTTTATTGTCTAGATGCACAACAGACGTGCAACTTTACAAATGTCAAATTCCTATTTTTTACAGTTAAAAATATTGATCTATCCTAATTAATTATATAAAAGTTAAAAATAGTTAAAAAGAATCGTTTAAATCGCTCCGTTTTAATTTGAGGTAAAATAAAGTTATGTTCCCTGTCTTAAGATCCTTTGTTTACACACAGGAAGCAATTCATGTAGGGCATGTTCTGGATTCGATACGATTTTGCTGAATAATTTTCTGTCTCTCTCCTCGATCACTTCAGATATCTTAATACTCTTTGCCGTATATCTATAACGATAAGCCCGCCGGAAAAACTTGTCTACACGATCCAAATATTTCTTTTGGAGTGCAGAGCCCCACACTTCAATGCAATAGTAAAAGAGTGACATGATTAGCGAATCGAATAATTTGCTTAGTTGATCTGCAGAGTAACCATAGCATCTACACACTCTCAATATGTACATACGCCCGCTGGTCTTCGACAGAAGATCATCGATATGAAGATCCCAGCAACATGGATTTTCCTGAAATGTGACACCTAATAATTTCAACCAGCTCTTTCGTTCAATGCCTACAATCGGTGCCGGTAACGGTTTCATGGACCCACAGTGCACAACCATTTCCCACGTTTTAGAAAGATTTAATGTCATTTGATTTGCTTCCGACCAATTCTGAATGCTTTCCACCTCAGCCTCAGCAGAATCCGATCCTGATTTTACTGGAGCACTTGTCGTTATATCGTCAGCAAATTTAACCAATAGGTTATTTTGCGCATCCATGGGTTTTATATCATTAACCATCAACATAATAATAATAATAATAATAATAAACATTTATATAGCGCACAAACCAAGACTGTTCTAGGCGCTTGAAAACAAACGAAAATAGAAAGGGACCCAAAACCGTACCCTGCGGTACGCCTTTGTTGATATCAACATAAACAGATTCTATGCCATCAACAACAACTCTTTGTTTTCTGTTGGCCAGAAAACTAATAATCCAGTTTATAGTATACGGATTAATTTCGAGTGTTTTCAATTTTCACAAATAATGTTATGGGATACCGAGTCAAACGCTTTCTTATAGTCAAATGATGTTACCCTAACAGAGTCTGCACCTTCATCCAGCTACTTGAGCCAATGATGCAAACACATAATCAGAGCATCGGTAGTATTTGTTCCCTCTTTATAAGCAAATTGATCTCGTCCGATCACGGATTTGAATGCAGACGCAATCTCCTGTTTATAAACTACCCGGCTTTCAAATAATCTCATAATGATGTTTGTGAGCGATATAGGCCCCAACTGATTACACTCTGTCAAATGAGATTCTTTGGGTATAGGGTTCACATTGGCGAGCTTCCACATCAGGGTAACACATTGTTGTTCGATTGAGAGATTGAACACTTTGGTAATTATGGGCGCTAAAAGTTGTGCAAAGTCTTTCCATAACCAATATGGAAGCCCATCAGGACCTGGCGCTGTTCGTTTTAGTTTCGTCAAAAAATTAATAACAGTAGGCTCATCAATGGTAGGAACTCGGGTACCTATAAGAATTGGTATGAGTTGGGGGGATATGTAGTTCGCATCCGTGTTTACATTTTGAAAGTACGAATTAATATGTTGTGGATCGATGACTGAGCTAATATTGCTGTTCTTGCTTTTTCTACCAGTAATTCTATTCACAGTATCCCACCACTTTTTGGATCCAAAACTATTTTTTCTATTCTCATCATCAACGGAACGAACAAGATTTTCACGAATTAGCTCATCAATACGTTTTTGCAGATCATTATTGACTCCCTTCGTTATGTTCTTATTCCTTATCTTACATAAGTGTTTGACCAAAGGAGACATATACGGTGGGTCACGTGTTGACATTTTTACTTTAATTAACGGGAAACAGACATTAAACATGTTGGTGATAGTGTCATTTAATAGAGTAACTGTATCATTGACATTATTGCAATTATAAATGTGACTCCAATCACATGTCTCCAATTTCCTCATCATGCTGAATTTCCGATGAGCTCTTACGTCTCTAAAGTAGACATCCTTTCTTTCGGGTTTTATAGCTTGTCGCGGGGAAACCATGACAACTAAATGGTCAGATCTTACTAGACCTTTGAAAACCTTTGATTTTTCCCAAAGATGTGGACAGTTGGTTAAAAATACATCCAAAATTTTATGATTTCGGGTAGGCTTCTTGACTAATTGTTCCAAGTTGTGCTGACTGATAAGGTCCTTTGTTTTTAATTGATTAATGTCTCCTGCTATAATTATACTTGCATTGGGCTCAGGATAAAGAATCTGTTCTATAGTTTCAGACAAATGATTTAGTAACACAGTCTCAGGATAAATGGGGTCAGGTGGGTGGTATACTGAAGCTACGTAGTATTTAGTATTAGGTGTTACAATTTCACACCAAACACACTCAAAGTTGTTGTCAAAATCCAAAATCCACACAATGAGCTTTGAAGCAATTTTTGTTTGAAGAAGTAAGAAGAGTTGATTTACTGTGAGAAATCGTGGAATATAGGGCAAGTTTGCTTTGAATGTTTTAAAATATTTATGAATTTTGTTGCTTTAATTTATTGCGTAAAACATGTACTGCTTTCCTTTTCAATGAAGCTGTATTAAAGTTTGCTAAATTACCCTATTTAATTTAAGAAAAAAAGGTGAAATGTAAAGGCGAGCAAATTAATTTGAAAACCGAACTGCAATTACTCAACAATTTTAACTTATAAGTTTTTTGAATGTTTGCATGGCGATAAAATATAATTGTTGAACTTATTTTGGTTTATTAAGTAAAAACAGTTATCGGAAAAAGCAGTTTATAGTTATTAAAATGAACATTTCAAAACATTTTATGAAGTGATTCAGGTTAAACTTTACATTAAATCATAGTTAATAGAGGACAAGGATTAAATCAAAGCTCACAAAATACAGAACAACATACCTACAGTACATATTTTGGAAATTCATTGTTTTATAGTTAAAAGCAATAATCTTTCAACTATTTTTGGCGTGTTGTACAAAAAATCTAATAAAATTATCGCGTTGCCATGGCAACACTGATGTAAACGCGAGCTTGCGTTAAAATACAGGCAAGGGGTTCAGGGGTGGATCTAGGAATTTTCGTACGTTAGTCAAATTTTTTCCGAGTTGCTGCTATCCGGGGGGGGGGGAGCGGGCCTTTTACTTTCTGTCTGTGGGGGTTGTAGCATTATAAGTTATTCGTTGATCGTCCGACATGTTGTTTTAATAAATACATTTTTGACCCTCCTGTCAACAAAACGTCATATTATATAACAAATAGAAACTGTTAATAATCAATATATATTTAGTTTAAAATAATGTTTTGTTCACACGTGGGACGCGCAAGTCAAAACTGTAATGAATCGGAAAGTTCCAGAATATACTGGTTGTTGCTATTGTATATAGTGAGAGGTTTTTTAGTGAGAGATTTTGCGAAATTAGGATGGTTCGTAGCGTCGAATAAAAGCTAAAAGAAAGTAAGAAACTATTGTGTAACATTGTGTTGAGGATTATCTCGGGGCCGTCGTGGGCAATTCTCAATAAGATTTCACACGAACAATGACAAAATGCGCTTACTTCTAGATATCGTGTTACAACACAGCATAACACCCGACTATACAATCTCAAAATTTCCAGATTCTGTCGCTACTAATACATCAATTAAATATTGCAATTGCCCGATACAAATATAAACGAACACAAAAGAGGTTTATACTTTATAGCTTTAATTAACTATGGTTATACAGTAACACAGTTCATTTAAGCAGCCAAACCGCTTTTATATCTTATTACCGCCGTCAATAAGCACTCTTTAGTCTTTAAGCAGGTTTTAAAGCTTACTTAATACCAGACTGTGAACTAAAATATAAATATAATCTCCTAACCTTATCGCTGTACATTTCTATTGTGGTGGACGAGCACCGAATTGAAATCTCTAGCGAGACTGGTTCTGGTGATATAGTTGTGGATAGACTTGGTATGAATAGCGGCTAAAAGCTCTTCGATATATCGATCTTGTATTGAAGTATTGATATGCTTTAAAAGATCTGTGTTCACCATTTCTAGACTGGACAGTCTCGTATAACCTTTATATATTGTGGGAACCACTGACTATTTTTACACATGGCGATTTTAATGATTTTATATTGTCGTCGTACTCGTACGTCAATTTAAGTCATTTAATCTTCGCGGTGAATAAACTTTCCGAATGAGTCAGATGAGGCAAAAAATATGAGCCAATGAGAGAAGAGAATTTGGTCTTTTTCGACCAATCAGAACTTCAAATATTGCGCAAATAAGGCAGACCCCCACGAAGATGAGGCAAAAAAGTTGAACCAATGAGAGAGGAGAATTCTCCTTCAATCAGCCAATCAGATACCTCATAGATGACGTAAATAAGGCAGACCCCCACGAAGATGAGGCAAAACCATTCTCGACCAATCAAATGGCTAGAATCTGTCTCAAGTAAGTCAAGGTCACTGAGCTTACAACCGCTGAATGAAACTTGATAACTAGACTATTGTGAATACTAGAAGTTACTAACGCAAGGAAATGCTGCCTCACGGCCAAAACTTTGAGTTAGGTTGTTCAAAATCTGTTTATAATCCGTGGATAACACAAAGCTAAATAACACTATAATGGCAACATAACACTACAATTATAGTTTTTAAACAATAAAAATCGTATTTTATTGTATTGTAAGAATCGCGTGCATATATGTTACAACAATATTCTAATTATCTAAAATTAAGAAAACAGTTCTCTGCAATGAAACAGGTCATTTTCTGAGCACTCCAAACGATAGTAGCTCATAAAAATGAACAAATTATGGGTCATTCCACGGCTTATTTCTCCGACAATATATCTATAATGTGACCCGCAGGGCTACCTCCACACATTTAACTATTATGCGATTGGCACTAAGGTTAATGTCACTAATATTCTTAGACACAAAGTCAAGCATGGTCACCTCTAGAGTAATAACCTGGAATGACTAACAGTTCATAACACTATTAATAATGGATAAATATAATGCACAAAACCCAAGGACTGTTTATACTATTAACAATGGAAATATAACATTATTATGTATACCATAACATTACTATTATACGTCTATACCATAACACTATTAATAATGGAAGCGCATAACACTATTATATATCCTGTCTGTCTGTATGTTTTTTTTAAAAAAAAACTGTTAAAAGCTACATATCTTGTAAGCAGGTGAACTTAATAATGATCTTATGACACTATACAAGGCTATACAACTCTATCCAATGTTATAAAAGACTAAACAACACTACTGTATATAAGGCTATACAAGACTATACGACATTATACAGCGTTATACAAGACTATTATACGACACTATACAAGAGTATACAACACTTACGACACTACACAATAATATATAAGGCTATACAACACTATACAACACTATATAACGTTATACAAGACTATATATTTATTTTTTTTATTTATTTTTAATTCGCCCACAGAATTAAGTATTTACATTGTTTTTTTTTATTTACTTCTATTATAGGGCTAGGAGCCTACTAGAAACCCGAACAGGCTTTTTATTAAGGCCCCTAGTTTATTTAATTAAATTAATATATAAAGTTTTTGGCAGTTCAAAACTTGAAACAAAATTAAGGTATTATACTAATTATACTAAAAATATGTACAAGTTTAATTCTAATTTTTTATATTTGCTATAAAATTTTATAATTTTATATAGC